GGCCCTAACCAATTCGTGGACCCTGTGCGGTTGCACAGTACAGGCCGCATAGGTTAAGGGCCGAGCTTGGGGCCAGGGTAGGGTTTTGCGAGCAAAGGCTTAGTGGATTTCGCAGGCAGGGGTGAGGTTCGCCGGCAGAGGGTAGTGGTTAGTTGGACTGGGGGGGATTGTCAGACAGGTTGTTGGTTTAGGTAGCCTGGGGGTTGGTTGGATTGTTTTTGGGGCAGGAGAAAAGGGGAGGGGGTAGCTGCCTTTTATTTTTGTAAAAAAAATTATTTTTATTTTAATATTTTTTATAAAAAGTGTTATCTTTTACTAATAGAGTGGTGACAAGCATGCCCTCAAGACAGAAACACGAGTCAGAATAGAGGAGGGGGGTAATGATACCTATTAATTTTGCGTTTTGGGGTTATTTTTTTTTTAAGTTTGTAAAAGATAGATAGTAAATTCACAAGTGATGTATTTGGGGTGACTTTTTTCTTACAAATTTCCTAAATATAATTGAATTAATTATAGGTGACGAAAAAAGTTAAGATATAAACCAAATACATTAAGAAAGACTTCATGATTTAAATAAGTATTTGAAATATCCTTAGGAAAACAAGTAACTTATTCATCATATACCAATATCATTTAAGAAAATTTGTTAGAAATGTTCTTTTATATATATATATATATATATATATATATATATATATATATATATATATATATATATATATATATAATGTGGCAAAAAAGGTCCATATATCTCATTTAGATTGTTATGAGGGACCTTTGATTGGATATTTGCGATTAATATTTATTTTCTGGCCTTTTTTTTTTTTGTCTTTTTCTCCCTTTCCCTCCAATTCCCACTTTTTTTTATTGAATTAAAATTATTTTTGTTGAACTGAAATTAATTTTACTTATTCTCTATTATATTTCTTCTTTTAAGTTATTGATTTTTTTGAACTGAAATTATATTTACTTAAATGAACTTATTTTTGTAAGATGAAGTGACCCTTTCTATGTAAGGCTATAAGCAAAATATGTTCAAATTGCATCTTGTTATATTTCAGTTAATTATATTTTTAACTAACTACTTTTTTAGAGAACCTATTATGTACATCCGGGTGTACCGCACTGTACACTCGGGGTCATTTGCTCGTTCAATCAACAAATGAGTGAAAATATTATTTGCTCATTTGTTGATTAATGAGAAAATGACCCCAAATGTACAGTACACTTAGGTATACATAATAAATTTTAACTTTTTTAAAAAAAAATTTCATTAAAATTAAGGATTTTTTTTAAAAATAACACCACATATTTTGAAAAAAATGGATTATTATAACACCATAGTACATTTTCTCAAATTTGTATCATAACACCACATAAAAATTAAAAAATTTGATTTCACCACCAACTAACGAATTCTTGGATGGAATCCGTTAGTAGGGCTCACTTTTGACACGTGTCACTCATATATTAGATTAAAAAAATTTAAAAAAAAAAGAAAAATCCTAAAATGCTAAACCAGCCACCACCACCGGTGGGTTCACACCACCGTCACCCAAACCCAACCCCGAAGCTCCGAACCACCAAAAACCCACCTTGAATCACCCAGCCACCGAAAACCCGCCTTAAAACACCCCAGCCACCGGAAAACGCACCTAACCCAACCTTGAAGCACCGAACATTGGCGATTAAACCCCAACGATCGGCGTTATAGCAGCCAAAAGCCGCACCTCTCCTTTACCCTTTCACCCTCAAAATGCCCGGAATCGACCATGGAAACCTAGAATGAGCAATTTCGATGGTCGATTTGGCCGTTTCAAGGATGATTGGGGCAAAAGGGGGTGGTTTTACACGGTGATTTTGCGCGGCGGTTTGAACGACTTGGATGGGCTGGTTTTCGAGGAGGGAGAAGGGGTGAACAGGTAAGGGTGGTGGTCGATCGATCGGTTTCTTCGGTGTAGGGGTGGAAGTCGCTTTGTTTCACCGGTCAAGGTGGGGTACGGGTGGTTTTCGGCTTGAGTTGTGTTGCCGGCGGTAAAGTGGTGCGTGGTAAGGCTGGTTGGGTTAGGATTTAGGCTTTTTTTTAATTAAACTAATCAATGAGTGCCACGTGTATTTGTTGGGTCCCACTAACGGATTCCATCCAAAAATCCGTTAGTTGGTGGGGAAATCAATTTCTTTGGTTTTTTGGTGGTATTATAATAAAAATTTAAGATGATGTGGTGTTATAATCAAAATTTTTGAAAATTTGTGGTGTTATTTTCTAAAAAATCCTAAAATTAAAAACATTAAAGGTTGCAGTTGGTCATTGGCAAAATCGCAAAAACACAAAAAATCAAGTCATAGCAAGTAAAAAAAAAAGATGATGACGTATTAAAATTACAATGTCCAATATTTTGGGGTTATTGTAACATTTTGTTTTAAGGCAAGCAATTAATAATGAAATCTTTTATCATTAGGGGATGTCAATTTTCGCCAAGTCCAAAACTAATAAGTTCGTTACAACCTCTTGACAGTGGCGGATCCAGGAATTGGACCTAGGGGGTTCGAACTTTATCAAACACCCGATATCCAAATGCACGGATATAAATCGGGTATACAAGTATAAAATAGAATGTTCAAATAAATATCAATACACAAGTAAACAACAAAATAAGTCCAAATTTCAATAAAATTGCAAAATAAATGATCCGATACAACAATACATAACTTCAATTAAATGTCAAAATACAATACATAAAAAAGATGCAAATTACAAAAGCATTCTTCGAGTTTTCATACTTTGAAAACGTTCCAATACATCATTGTCACCAACGTTAGCAAAAAGATCTCTTTCAAGAAATGTGACTAAACAATTCATTAGTACTACATCTACTGCAAATTAATTCATAATTCATTTAATAATCAAGTATCCAAGTGAATCAACATATTATGATATTAACAATTAAGAAACTCAAAACTCAAAATTAAAACTCAAAAACAGAAATTGAAAAGAAAAAACAGGGAGTAAGTGAGAGAATGTTACCTCGAGTAGATCGTCGGCGTCGCCCTCGACCCTCGTGGCCTCGTCGGTGAGCAGTGGCGACAGGCGTGGACGTGTCTCGGTGCGGCGGCTTGAGAAGTGAGAAAAAATGGAGAAGAAAGTTAGGGTTTAGCAAGTAACAGTGTATGAGAATTGAGAAAAGAAAGGGAACAATTGAATAGAACAAAGAACGAAAGTTACAGGGAAAAAAAGGGAGAAAAGAAAGGGAACTATTGAATAGAACAAAGAACGAAAGTTACAGGGAAAAAAAGGGAGAAAAGAAAAAAGAAAAAAAAATAAAGTTGCGCGTCCTGGGTTTCGACCCCGCGATCTGTGAGTAAACAATTGTTTAAGATATTTTATTTATAGTTTTTTTTTAATAACTTTTAATTTTTTTTTCGGATCTAACAGGGTTCAGTTGAACCTCCTGAACCCCCGCTAGATCCGCCACTGCCTCTTGAGTCCCACCTTGCAACTAGATGAGCTAAGGTGTTCCCGCCCGCTTTACATGAGAAATACAAAAAGCATTAAAAGAGCTAGCTAAAGCTATATTATCATTAATAATTAAAAGCCATAGAGATAAGCCAACAACGCCATCTTGTACTCCCTTAGCAACATTACAGACATCAACTTCCACATGATTATTGGAGTAGTCCATCCTTGTAGCGAGTTGCACCCCCCAAGTGACACACAACAGTTTCAGCAAGGTCAGGCTTCCATCACACTTGCTCCTTGCGAACACCAGCCACCAGAGCCCTTCCACACAAGCTCTTATGTATCACTACCCCTAGCCCTGTTGATCCACCAATATGTGCATCGCAGTTCACTTTTATGAACCCAGAACTAGGACATATCTAGCTACAAGCAGATGGGAAGCCACTGGTTCTCACAACAGGAAATACCTTTGTGGCATAAACACCAAAGTCATACACATTCTTTGATAGACCAATAGCTATATCCATAGGGTTAATAGTAGCATTATCAAAAATCAATTTATTTCTACACCACCACACAGCTGAGGCTAAAGCAGCACACTCCAATATCTCATTTCTTGTTACCTTTACATCAAACCAAAAGAAAACATAAAAAAAGTTGGTCATAGGAGTAGTAACCCCGCAAATTTGCTAGCATCCAAATCTCTTTTGTAGCATTAGAATGGAGAGTAGCGTGAATGATGGTTTCATCCTCTAACCCACAAATAGCACAAATTTTGTTTTCTAGCAAATGGCGATAAAATAATCCATCACGAACACCAAGAAAATCCTTTGCACGCTCTCCATAAGAAATGGCAGAGCGCAGGGGGTCCTCTTATTCCCCAAATAACCCTCCAAATATCCTCACTTTGCTGAAGTTGCATAGGGTTTAGACTTTGCTTGCCAAGCTAATAACCAGACTTGACCTGAGTTGATGATAAATGTTCTAATAATTATGATTTTGTTAGAATAATATAGACAATGAAATCTAAATTGACGAACTTGAACTTGAGATCAATCAACACGATTCTTATCCAAAAATTATTTGACCCGATCTAATTCGATCAGAACAATCCAATAGCCGCCCTAACTCTTTCACTCGTAACAAACTTGCATCTTTTTGTGTGTGTTAGATACTTCTACACTTTAATTTCCTTCTTCCTAATTATTATAAATGCACCATAAAGGTCAAATCAAGCCAACAAATGAGCTTAATTACGCTTTAAAGCTAGTGGCCCTTTGTTACTTTGTCTAAAAGTTGGGATCTGTTTTTTTTAGTTCCCACTTATTTAGCCTTTGAGATATTTCGAATTTGGGGGTCAATTATGTGTGATTATGTTTCAATTCCCTCCTAATTATTGTTATGGCCCCTTATGGGAGATTGAAAAAATGATCTTCCCTACCAAATGCAACTTTAAGTTAAGTGTTGGTAATCTCAAGACTCTTGCGAGTTCAATTTCCACAAGTATTTGGAGTGAGGTTCCTCTTATCCTGCAACTTTCTAATCCGATAACCCGAATAATAAAGTTCGAACTAATAAGACAATTTTTCTGAGATTAGAAAATAAAAAAAAAATGTTAAGAGTTTGGTGACGTAGTCTAACATAGGTCTCAATCTTTCTCAAACTATCAAGTCTCCCCCACTCCAGCACTGCCATTGAAGCTATCCACCCCACAAAACTCTGCTTCCTTCAATAAAAATGGCTGCCATTATCAACACACTTGCAGCAATTAAACTATCCAATTCTGCAAATACCCATTTCCGACCTCGCCCTTTTCTCTCTCCTGCTTCAACTTCTTTCACCAGTAAGCTTCAATTTTTTCCCCATTTCTTCATTTTTTTTTCTTCTGAAAACTTAAACCTTATTACTGTTTATAATTTCTTTTTAAATTGTTGTTTTAGGAAGAAGATTGGCGATTAAAGCAGCTGACACTGACACTGATGAAGGTTTCCTCTTGTCCTAATTATTCAATTTTATATTTTTGTGGATTTATTTGCTTAATTCATTGTTGATTTGAAGAAAGATTGGGTTTTAATGTCTAATTTTTAGGAAAAAAAATCTGGGTTTTTTTAGAAATTTGAATTTGTGTGGCAGTGAAAGGTCGGGTACCAGATAAGGCACCATCAAAGGAGGGTTCTAGCTTCAATCAACTTCTTGGAATCAAAGGGGCTTCACAAGAATCTGTGGGTTCTTCCTCTTAACAATTATTGTATTATTTTCTATTTTAAGTTTTTGATTTGGGGTTTTTCTTCCTAATTTGAGTGTTTGATTGGAATGCTACTCAATTGATGATAACTTGAATCACTCCTGATTTAAATTGTAGTTATAAAAGTGTGGTTGGATATTGGACAGTTGGTTTGAACTTGTTTTTTTCGTTGGAAAATACTCAGACTATGTAGGAACAGATTGAGTGATTGACCAGTAGTTATGCCTTATTGATAGACGATTCCGAATCCGAATTCGAGCTGATTATCATTTAGCTAATAAGGCCACAAGCAATTCTTCTGGATACTGTTTTTGAAGCACAGTCCTTTCTGGTATTGTGCTTTTGTTTTTGGGTACGGGAGTTATGCGATGGTGGACATAGATGAGAGTTGTGATGCAAAATAGAAGCTGGTTCTTGTGTCTAATAGTGTGTTTGTGGTGACTATTTAGAACATGAAACTTTTTTTTTAGCAATACTCTGTAAATGTTACAAACCCTTTATTGTATTCAAGGGATTCAACAAGAGTTGAATGAAGTATGGGAGGGTTAGAGCCATACTGGTAGATATGGATAATGCTTCTTTGGAAGGTAGGTAACTGCTGAAAGGGAGCATTAGTGTACTATGAAGTTGATTATATAGTAACTCAAAAATCTTGATAAAGTCAAGATGAAAACTAAATTAGGGAGTACTCAAGCCATGCTCAGGATTTGAAATTAGTGTATGAAAATATGAAGCATAAGTCAACTACATTTTATTCTTCACTGCAATTAACCATTAAGAGACCAATGATATATCAGCATTCGTTAAATAGTTTTAACATCAAGATAAATTTATAGTGTGTTTTGATAAAGAAAGGGGAAGGAAAAGAAGGGGAGGGGGGAGAAGAGGAGGGGAGGGAAGAATGGTAAGTTTTCCTTTCAAATCTCTCCATTGATGGAGGGATCAATTTCCTACAATTTAATCCTTTCATTTCTCTCCCCTCCAATTCCCTTCCTTCCACATTTGTTATCCAAATAAAAGATACTCCATCTCTCCATTTCTCTTCACTTCCTTTCCCTCAATTTCCTTCAATCTAAACACACCGTTAGAGAAAAGGTAGCAATACTCTGTAAATGTCTTGCACTCTTTCTGGCATTCAATGATAGTTGAATGAAGCATAGGGAGTAGAGTGTTAGAGACAAATTATAGAAAATACGCTTCTTCAAAAGTTAAAACTGAAAGGGGGCATTATTGTACTATGAGATTTTTTTTTTTTATTGATAATCACTCTAATATCTTGAGAAGGATAATTCAATATGAAATTTTAACTAGATACTACCCCATCTATGCCTGGGATATGGCAATATGGAGAACAAGGTTAGGGGGAAATTTCTGGAGGTAAAGCATGCTTTAATTGCTTTTGCTTTGTATATAATTTTATTAGATATTGCATTGTTTTCCTAAACGACTTGTGGAATAATATATAGGCCTTATATAATGAAATAGAATAAGAGCATAAAAAATATGTCTGGTTATAGGGTGTTAGTATTTCTATGTGTAAATGTTTGCTGGTTATTTTTGTAGTTCTGTTTGTGTACACCACTACATAGTACTCATACAATTTCAAGATATTGAATTGTATTAAAAGGAGGAAAGAACACTAATCAGGATTCAGGAAAGGGGAAAGAAACAGATTTATTGCTTGAACTAAATGTTATTTAGTTCTATTGCTGCAGAACAAATGGAAGATTCGCCTCCAACTTACAAAACCTGTTACATGGCCTCCATTGATTTGGGGAGTAGTTTGTGGAGCTGCAGCATCTGGTATACTTACATATGGTCCTTTCATCTTTCTCCGATTCGTTATCTCCTGTTTATCATAGACATTGTTCTTCACAAAATTGTCATGCTATCCATTGTGCTAGCGACTTTTTCTCAGCCCATATTACATTCGTCTATAGGAAAGCTAATTTTGTTCTATTTATCATCACGGTTATGCTTCTAAGGCAATTACTTGTTTTGCTAATGAAGTCCGATATGTGGTCCATATATGAATCATATGATATACGTTTATGGTTAAGCGAACCCATTCTTACTCCCTTACCTTAATATTTTTTCAAGCTAGGATAGTGGACATCCCAGTACTACCTTCTAAGCCCTTTTTTTTTCTTAACAGTCTATTCTCTTTTTCTCTGCATCTTTTCCTCGTTTTTTATCCTCAAGAATTCAGTTTTAAAACAATTGAGACTTGTGACAAGCATATTGAATCAGTCAACTAGTCTTGTGAATTAACGAAGTGCTATTATGTTACTATATAAAGATGTAAACCACTGCTTGCTAATATTTTACTTGACATTTGTTAATCTGATGTCTGTATCTTCAAACCAAATAACAAGCATGTTGGAACAGCCGATCAGTCTTTTTTTGATGAAACTGTATTTGTATATAAAACCATTGCTAAAGCTTATTTGATTTTGTAGGGAACTTTCATTGGACTCCAGAAGATGTGGCTAAATCGATTCTTTGCATGATGATGTCTGGACCTTGTCTGACTGGCTATACACAGGTTGGGCCCCAGAAAATTATTATTTATCTATATGGACCTGATTTACATTCGATTTTTGTTATCTCATGTATACATATTTCCTTATAGACCCTGAATGATTGGTATGACCGAGATATTGATGCAATTAATGAACCTTATCGTCCGATTCCTTCAGGGGCAATATCTGAGAATGAGGTATGTGGTACATTTGACTACGATAACTAATTTATGGTCACTAATATTCTTTGTTATTGATGACTTTTCTAATTTCTTGCAGGTCATTACTCAAATTTGGGTTTTGTTTCTAGCTGGACTTGCTATTGCTGGAGGATTGGATGTGTGGGTAAGAAGATTTCAGCACCTATTATCTCTTCTCAATCTTTTCTTGTACTGATAAGTTCTTTTGCTACTTCAGCTATTTCCTTTTTTTTTTTTTTTTTTTTTTTTTTTTTTACTTTTTTTTTTAATTATTATTATTTTTATTTTTAATCTGTCTTATTTTTAGGCAGGGCATAAATTTCCTACACTTTTCTACTTGGCTTTGGGTGGATCTTTCATTTCTTACATATATTCTGCTCCCCCACTGAAGGTAATTTCATCTTTTTCCATAGTATTGTCCAACATTGGAGAAGATTCCCATTTTACATTATTTTATTATTTCCGCAGCTTAAACAAAATGGTTGGATTGGAAATTTTGCTCTTGGGTCAAGCTACATCAGTCTTCCATGGTGTGTTTTCTTCCTCTGTTCCCTCTGTCTGATTCCCTCTCTGTCACACACTCATAAACCTATTGTGCTCTTGGGTTATTGAAGCTCAAGGAGTTACCCTCATTAGATACCTAAAAGAATGGCTTGGACTTTTAGGAGCAACTAAAACAGACCTATATCTTAGGTTACTGGAGCTCAGTCAAGTTATTATGTCAAAAGACTATGAAGATGAGCTTTTCTTGATGACGTTTCAAAAATACTGTCCTTAGAGTCATCATATTTCAACTTGACAATTTAAACTTATGGTGAATCTACCAGCTGTTTCCATCTTTCCTCACATCATAGAGCAATATATGCGCTAATCTTCTGTCAGCTTTTCCATGGACACTGTAGTGTTGTGCCATTCATGCTCTCTTATGCTTGAATTACTGTTTTTGTACAAACATATGTACCTGTGAATTCTCTTATGAATTATTGTTTTTTTTCACAACTGAAATGAAGATCTACATTTATGGATGCTTGTTCTGGTTCTGGCTGATTTATCGTAGTTTAATTCCTGATGTTGTTTTGGTAGGTGGGCTGGTCAAGCTTTATTTGGCACTCTAACACCGGATATAATCATTCTTACCCTCCTGTACAGCACTGCTGGGGTATGCTTTCTTCATTCTTGACTAACTACTCTCCTGTCCTATAATGAACTTCACGTTGGTGGGCACAGAGGTTAGGATTACTCATTAAATTTTGAAGTAAATATTGTAATAGGTAGAAAGAGAAATATATATATAAGAATAAGTTTTGGGAAGGAGAGACGAAAAGGATTGATGGTTTGGAGATCGAAACAACAATTTCGGGATTGTTAACTTTTGTTTAAAAAGGAACTCTTAAATTGTTTTGGGATATTTCAAAATGACAAGCGTGAAGATCATTATGGACAGAAATTTACATGATTGAAAACCAATTCTCACTAATTTAATCTTTCACATCATGTCATAGCTTGGCATTGCCATTGTAAATGACTTTAAGAGCATTGAAGGCGACAGAGCAATGGGACTGCAGGTTGGTAAAATTTTCTTGAGTTAAATTAGTTTCACTGAGGCCTGAATTAAAACCCAGCATAAAATTATTTGCAGTCAATTCCAGTAGCTTTTGGCATTGAGGCTGCTAAATGGATTTGTGTTGGTACCATTGACATAACCCAGCTATCAGTTGCAGGTAATCAACGTGTCATTTTTTACAAGCATCATTGATGTCTCTTGCAAAGCTATCTGCTCCATTTAGTTCACAAGCTACACTTTTTGATATGGTGTTTTTACATATATTTCATTCACTGATTTTGATAATCTTGATATTATGATAGCATATAAATAACCAGTCGTATGTATGAGAGTACATGTCATCATGCATTTTGAGATGTGCTAACTTCATTTTTTATTCTTCCAAGTCAAATTGGAAAAGGTGGCCAAAGCTTAGAGCTTGTTACATATTTTGTGATGATTAAAGATTGCATCTTCTCAATGCGGGCATACCTGGATTGGTCAAGAGAGTGATTATAATTTGACAATATTTACTCCATTTAGCACCAAGTTTAAAGCGATATTCTATGATGGATCACCTTTTTCCCTCCCTTCCTAAAGATATTTTTCTGAGGCTTACTTTTTCTTGGGGAAAACAAATTATTCTGAAAGACAATACTGCGCATTATATGTCAAGAACTCGAAAAGGAGCATATTTTAGGGCTATGTGGCCAAACAGCTATAACTTTTGTCTTTCTTGTTTTTTACCTCTCTGAATCTGCACAAATGCACACATATGATGTGACTGAGCTGTCCTTGAGATGAATGTTTAAGTACTGCATTATAAAAGATATATCTCAAAAGCTGTAGGAGTGTATATTCTGGTCACTGATTCTTTCAATTAGGATGACATTTTTCTATTGTCATTGTGAAAATATCCCAGCCCCTCCCACAGAAAAGTCGACAATAGAAATTTCAAATATTCTTGGAAGGTATGTTTCTGCTGCTTCTGTGGATTAATCTCTGATCATTCTACTTGTATTGCAATTCAGGTTACCTTCTGGGGGCTGGCAAACCGTATTATGCTTTAGCTTTACTGGGCTTGATACTTCCACAAATTTATTTCCAGGTCTGCACATAGTTGGCTTACAATCCACATTTATGCTAATCACTGTGCTGCTAACGTGAATAATCTTTCAATCTGCCTTTTTTGGTTGTCCGAGATAATCGCCCTTGTTTTTTAAAATCAAACGTTGCTTTTCTTTCTCTGTAAGACATGAACCATTTTCCCACTATTTCAATACCGTTTATTTCCCTCTATCCCCTCTTTAAATATTTTATAATCACAGTTTAAACTCTTTTCTCAATCTTATTGCTAAAAGCTAGCATGAAAACTGTTAGGGAGGATTCCACCTTCACTAGTGTATAACTGTAATTCAAAGTTATACAAAATTTAAGCATTTCAAAGGCAGTGTTACGACTGTTACCTTCTATAAGGAAAATTGTAGGGTGACAACGATATCTGTTATCTACCACTTGATTGACTCTAAATTCATTACCGCTACGTTTTGCATTCAGCACTTTACATGCTTTTTTCCTTTAGTTTTTTAAAGTTTCTTCTTTTACTTTATTATTTTATTTTTTGGTAATTTCTTAAATAAAGTTTTCTTTTGCAGACCAAATATATCCTTACAGACCCCATCAAGTATGATGTCAAATATCAGGTACTTCAAATATCTCTAATTTCTGTACTTTGCTATGATTTGTGACAAGAATGTGATTTAGAATATAAACTCTCCTTTTGCTCTCCTATGACTTGTGACCAGAATTCGAATTAGAATATAAACTGTCCTTTTGCTCTCCTTTCCAGGCTAGTGCACAACCATTTCTTATTCTTGGTCTTCTGGTGACTGCATTGGCAGTCAACCATTAAGTGGTCGTGTCACCTTGGTCTGTATTACCTCGACGAGCAATGAAATTCAAACATCAGCAACAGGAAGTCCAAGACTGCGGAAAATTCTGTTTCAACACGCGCATATTCAGTTGGGCATGTTGGGCGAGCACCCATTGTTTATGTACTGAAGCACAATAGAAATTTTTTGTTGTGCCTTTCACCATTCTCTTATAATCAGATTAGTGTATCCTCTATCCATCATTTTGTGCAGTTAGAAATCGCTGAACGTAAGCCTTTTGTATTATGATGTTTTAGGTTGTGTACTAGAGAATAGAGATCAGAGTAGACCTCTGTTGTATCCTTCTATTTGTAATTTTTCCTCGTATTCGTCTTTCTGTTGAGAAGAGGCAAAGAGGGGATTTAAATTGTGTACCAATAAACGAAGTTGCAAGTGAGTAATAATATTCCTAATTCACACTCCTATATAAAACTACTTCCTTTTTCTTTGATTTTTAAGCTACTTTTTTTTTTTGTTTCTTTTATTTTGTTTATATCACTTGATCTGCTTATGAAAGAGCATGTCATAATGTTGTGTTGCATATTATGTTGTGATGTATGTAAAAGAAAAAAGAAGAAATTACTTATTATTTAAAGATGAAGATGATGAGAATGTACACTAATTAATATGGAGTAGAAAGTAGCTTTGTTTACAAGAACTCTTGACACGCAAAAACGGAAGATCACCGTGCATTAACTTCAACGAGCAACGCTAGTAAAATTAATAAAAAAAAAAACTTGAAATTACTTGGGAAACCACACAGAGCATTACATGATACAGCTGAAACAAAAGACTACAATTGTTCTACACTTCTACATACATACGTACTTGGTACTCACGACCTGAAAATTTAGGTTGCACGAAAAGGACTAGAGAAAAACTTGAGATATTAATAAAAATTTATGTTGCACGAAAACGAATAAAAAACTTGAGATATTAATAAAAAGTCATCCGACACCAAGCCATTTACAGGCTACATTAGCACGGTAACAGTGGGGTTTCAAAAACGGGAAAACATCCGTGCTGAAACTACGTACTAGTTATAACAACTACCGTACCTAAAGTTAACTAAAAAGGTGTAACATACATTTTATTACATAACTACGTACTAGAGTGTAACTTAAGTGTTTTAAGGGAAAATGTGGTTTGAGTTGAGCAACACCAGTGCAAGGTTAACGAAGAGGATTGATTGATTAGGAGCGAGTACGGAACTTGGACTCGTCGATATCGATGCCTTTCTCCTGAGCTCGCTCCTCGCCGGATTGGTCCATGGTGCTGAGTCCACCCTTGCGGCCCATTTCACTGTAGCCTTCGGTACCCATTTGGTCCTTCCGAGTCTGACCACCCTTGGTGCCAAGCTCCTGGTATCCTTCGTGTCCTAGCTGCTCCCTTCTTGTCTGTCCTCCCCTGCTCCTTCCTGCATTACAAATTTATGCAACTCCATTAAATATTAAGGAAATTAAATTTATTCACCTCATATATAGGTATATACAAGTATATCATTAAATGTAAATTAGTCACGTTCTTTATAGTTACGATTTTTAACTTTTAAGGTAAAAAAAATAACCTAATAAATTAATACATTTACTTCTTTAATCATTATTTCAAATGGCATATGGTATGGAATACTAAAGAATATATTAAATTAATACGTTCACTTCTGTAATCATTATTTCAAATGGCGTATGATCTGGAGTACTAAAGAATATATTACAACTACTAAAAGAAAAAACAAAGAAAATACGTACAACAACTACTAGTATAATACTTGTAAATCGTACTTCCTCCGTTATTTTTTACTTGACCCGCTTTGACTTTTACATTATTCACCACCTCACCTTTGACCGTCTTTTGTGAATGATAAGTAAGGAAAAATATATTCATATGATATTTTATTTAATTCGTCTCCAATAAGTATTATCGTAATATACAATTTTTATAATTTTTACTTATAAAGAATTAAATTATTGATCATTAAAGTTGTGCATTGACAAGCGTGATAAAAGAAACAGATCAAGTAAAAAGAACAAATGAAGTAATATTTAGGTGTTGTTACTGTTGTATCATGTCATACTATGTCATACTGCTTACATTATGTACAAATATAATGTCAAAATTCTATTTTATTGTTAGGAACATGATTGGTTGATACTTAACAGGTGCAACTACATAAAATTTAGTGATGTAGTATGTTTTATAAACTACAAAGTATATAAAAAAAATTAACATTATAATAAAATTTAGTGATGTAGCATGTTTATAAACTACGAAGTATAACTTTAATGTTATATTGTTATCATTTATTACCGCCTACCAAACTCGTACAGAAATTATAAAATAAAAAGAGAAAGACCTTCAGCAAGGTGCTCTTGGGCTTCAAGTGACTTGCCACCAGTACCACCAGGAATAACAGTCTCACCCTGCCTAGCCCTTGCATCCAACTCTTTCCTACTCTCTTCTTGTGCTGATGCCATTTTCTCTCTTTTTCTTTTCTTTCACTCTAAGTTTAGCAAGTTTTGAATTTGTTAGTTTAAAAGACAGTTACTCAACTTCTAATTATGGAATGTTATAATCTTAGGGTAACTTTTTCTATATATAGTAGTTTGGGTAATAGGATGACGCTTAAACAAGAAGGTTACGTGGCAATAGAGGGTACAACATGGTACTATATAAGTGACACGTAAGTGCTTCATCCGTAAAATGTAAGTGAAGTAGCTTCTCAGTTGATGCCACCTTTTCACCAGTGGTCACTTCTTATTGGGCCGACTCTGTTACACTATTCGGTGTTAGATTGGTGTAACGATAACTCCTTCATTATGGATATACATGGTCTATCAGTAATCTTTTGGGCCTAGGATTCTCACATCTCATCTCAATCCTCACAGTATAGTAATGTAATGTACTACCTCTGTTTTTATTTGTTTGATCGGTTTATATGCTCTATCATGCCTTTTCATATTCACCGTGAAATATTTTTACTTGAAAGAAAGAATTGAATGAAATTTGAACTTGTGATTTTTTTATCACGTTGACTCTTGATACTATGTTAGAGCATCATTTCTACAAAAAAAAAAAAAAAAAACTTAAGCTAATAATAATTTAACATTATGATTGATCTATATACACTCTATCACGATCCGTCAAATAAGATCCTTTTTGGCATGTCTTGAAATGTGGTTAAACATGGCCCCCTTATATAACATGAAATATTCTACTTGAAAGGAAAGGTGGATGAGATTTAAACTTGTTACCTTAGTGTCACATATATAAAACCATCTTGAGTTTTAAGTTTCAACCATAAGCTTATGCTTTTGGTTGGTTTAATCCTTTAACATGGTATCGATCAGAGCCAACATAACATAAGCTTACATGTTCAGCTCTCATCCATCCACCACTGGTGGAATATTTCGTGAAAAGTATGAGGGGCCTCATGCTGCATCCATTTATTAAGTCAAACAGGCTCTTATCACACAAGGGGGTGTCATATAGTATATACACTAATCTCGAACTTCAACAATAAGTTTAATTTTGGTTAATTTTTAAATTACCACCCAAAAATATAACCATTTTCGAACTAACCATCCGTTTAATTTTTTATTTTAAATTACCACCCCTTAAATTAAATAAATGTTCATATTACCACCCATTTTAAAAATCTGGTGGATTTTCCCTTTCTAGGCCTCACCTAACACTTATTTTGAACCTTTTGACTGATTTTTTTCTCGGATTTTTCTCTTTAAAAATGCTTTCTAAACTTTAATTCACATTTCCTTCACCAAATTCTACCAAATTTAAAAGAGAAAAATGTGAATTGAATTTAGGAGAGCGTTTTTAAAGAGAAATTTCGGGAAAAAAAATCAGTCAAAAGGGTCAAAATAAGCGTTAGGTGGGGTCCACAGACAGAAAATCCACCGGATTTTTTAAATGGGTGGTAATGCGAGCATTTATTTAATTTAAGGGGTGGTAATTTAAAATAAAAAATTAAACAGGTGGTTAGTTCGAAAATGGTTACATTTTTGGGTGGTAATTTAAAAAAATTCCTTTAATTTTTAAATTGAATAAAAATGTAAGTTGAAAGTTGAATCCCAAGATTGGTTGGTATACTCCATCTAAAACAAATAGGGATTAAGAGAGTTTGCATTTTTAAAGAAAGACAGTATTACCTTTACATCCCATTATATATCAAACATTTTCCTTATCAATCTATCTCAAAGTACACTCAAATATTAGCTTGAGCAACATATTTGTCAATGCGAAACAAAAACCAATAATTATAAAAAATTCAAAAGTATCAAAAGTATAATAAATTACAAAAACTGAATATTAGAAAACTATACCCTAAAATGATTCTAACATATACCTACATGACTGCACTATTATTAGTCTTCTATATAAAGATATTTTTATTTTTACCACCAGAATAAATCACGAAATTTTTCAACAAAATTTCTAAAAATTGTTTTTCACCACCTGCTTTCAATAAAATCATTAAATCTAGATATGACAATGGATCGGATTCGGATCAAGTGGAGCTTAACCCGCATCCATCCTTATTCTAATAGCTCCACCCACATCCATTTGTCATCCGCTTCACCCATCATCCATATCCGTCCTAGCTTCCATCATCCGCGGATGAAACGGTGGAGCGGATGACTAATGGATGAGTATTAAAATGAAAAAAAAAAAAAACTCACATAAACTCTAATTTTCTGTTATTTATAGAATTTTTTTTTATTAATAAAAAAAGGAAACAATAATAACATATTATTTGAAGAATAAATTGCAACAAATAAATAAGTAATTTTCTTGTACATTTCATATTTTATTATTAAAATTATCAGATTATAAATTTAATATATGTTAAATGGGTGGGTGGATGGTTAGCAGGTGAAAAAGTATTATCCACATCCGATCCGATTCATCACCCGCTTCAATTCTCATCCATTTAATTCGGGTTTTCGTCCATTTATTTAAAGCAAGTGAAGCGGATATCCACTTAATATTGTCATTCCTAGTTAAATCTATTGATTTTAAAATAAAGTCTTTGATTTTCATGCAAAAACATGTCCTTTAGAGATTTTAGGGATCATTTTGGTTCGATTAAGGTCAAAATTGAAAAAAATAATAAAAATATCACAAATACCTCATTTTGCGTGTGTCACGTAAATCAAGGTTTTTTAGTAGGCAAAACAAGACATTTGCGATAATTATTTGCTTGTCAATTCTAAAAAGTTAGAATAGAATTAGTTATGGTTTTACTCTTTTGTGTAAAGTTAGAAAATAGAACTTCTTTATAGGTGGAGTAATCTATAAACAAACTTATAAATCTTACTTAATACTACATCCGTTTCTTTTTAGTTGACACGTATTCTTTTTTAGGAAGTTTTTTTTAGTTGACACATTTCTTTTTGGGGTAAATTTTTACCTTGTATTTACAAGCTACCCCACTTGTCTTTTCATTCCCTCTCACTCTCTCTTCTCTCCTTAATATATGTGCCTAAATAAAAGGCATCAACTAAATAGAAACAGAGAAGGTATAAGTTAGTCGTTCTCCTTTTATTAGTTAGTGTACTAAAAGACTAGATGCTTCTGGACCCAAGAAAAGTTGCAAAAAAGGTAATGCAACTCCAAAATTTGTGGTTACAAGAAGAACATCAACACTTTTTACAAGTGGCTATTATAGAGTCCACAACACCTTACTTTCAATTTGTGTGCCCATACAAATCTACGTGACCCCTTCTTTGCTACACGACGTGGAACAAATATATCCCCTAATTTGTATCTTACCTACTTTATTATAAATACATTACACTTCACTTGCACACTTCATCAAATTAAAGAGTCATACACAACTTTCTTTGATAAAGCATAGTGCAACTTTCTTATTTGCTTGTTCAATTTTTTGAAGTTGATTACTTGCTTTTCCTACATTAGATACAAAGTTTGTTGATTATAATGGCAATGTCTATGCAAGTGCAAGCCCTTCTATCCAACCCCGTTGGTGCTTTTTCCAAGGTGTCTCCTCTAGGGTTTAACCCTCGGATGGGAAAGAGAGTTAATTTTGGGGTGAAATGTATGGCCGAGGAGAAGGCTGATGGGGAACCAAAGGTTGACTCCGGTTTGCCTAAGTCAAACCCTAGCGTATCATCACCCACCCCAACCCCACCCCCTAGGCCTCAGCCTAAAAAGGTATATAATATGTTGTCATGACTAATTAATCTATGTCCATTAATCCATGTTTTCTGTTTTAAGAAATTTTTTAAATATTATAACTTTTCATTTTGTTATAATCATGTTACATATATATACGGATTTTATGTTACACGGTATTAGATTTGTGTCATAATAACATACACAAGACATGGAGATTTATTAGGAATCTTGGATGAAATTAAAGTGCAGTTTTTTATCACATACAGTAGTAACTAGGCTAGTTGTTATCTTGTGCATATTAATCGGTTATGATTAACATTGATTAACATTTGAATCAGTTATAGCATACAAAATATATGAAATTAAAATCATCTGTTTTGCATTCCACAGGTGAGCACAAACTTCACAGACCTATTGGCCTTCAGCGGCCCTGCACCCGAAAGGATCAACGGGCGTCTAGCCATGATCGGTTTCGTGGCGGCAATAGCCGTAGAATTATCACAAGGCACAGACTTGTTTTCTCAGATATCCGACGGTGGTGCACAATGGTTCTTAGGAACCAGCATTCTATTATCAGTAGCATCATTGGTGCCGTTGTTCAAAGGCGAGCGAGCTGAAGCAAAGACTAGCGGATTCATGAACGCAAACGCCGAGTTATGGAATGGTAGGATTGCTATGTTAGGCCTTGTTGCCTTGGCTTTCACTGAGTTTGTTAAGGGTGGAGCACTTGTTTGAGGAAACTCACCATTTTTGAGTGTTATAGTTTGAAAAAAAAATTATATATATTTTGATCTAAGTTTTGTACATATGAAGTTAATTATTATGGGATGTTTACAGTTTAGAGAGCTGATTAGGTTACTGTGAAATGTAATGTACTCCTATGATGAATTTGTCTATGTTGATCAAAAATTAATAGCAATCAAAGATTCAAAGTAATTATTGTTTACAAGATAAGTTTTTTTTAGTATTATTTAAATCTAAAGGCTCTCATCTAAGGAAGTTTGATTGAATATAAAAATCAGGGTCTCAACCATCTGATCCTTTGACATAAATACCAAGTATATGTTGTTTAAGTTTGTTGCTCATTTTCCAGGTTGTCAAAATTAATGGTATTTCGATAAAGTACTAAATTAGGGATAAACTTAACAAATTTCTTTTTTAAAATTTTTTTGTATACGCCCGGTTTACACTACTATACATTGAGCAGTATAAGGGTATCTTTTACCTAATTTTAGGGTAACTTTTTGCCTTTTTTTGGGTAATTTTAACATAATACAATTTTTATATAAATAGACAATAAGAAAAGTTTTATAATGGTAATTTAATTACATATAATCACAAATAATTAATTTTTAGTCATTTAAAATGTGATTCTTTACTAATAATTTTTATTTGTATTGGATTACTTT